TATTTATACAAGTGTATTAACCTAATTATGTATGAAGTAGTAGACTAAATTCCCCTTAATACAATATATATACACACTAACATATATCAAATAATATATTTTGGAATAAAATTAATTTTTTATTCTCCGTATTTTTGAAACTTAAAACAATTGATGTTATAAGCAACAATTTTTCAAGCTTTTAAATTTTTAGAAACAAAAATTGAACGTGTGTTAAATTTCGGGAAACTTGTTAAAGTTTACAAATATTTTCATAATTTTTTTTCTTTAATATTTTCATAAATTTTTGGGAAACTTGTTGAAGTTTCCTAAAAACCCGTAAATTTTTTATAGCTTTCACAAGTTTCTTATCTTATAAACGATGAAAACAGTATATTTCTTCATAGGAAATTAGGAATAGGATCTGTACGATTTTGAATATATATGCAGCTTCTTTATAACTTCAGCCTTTTAATACAAGACTATATTAGGACCCGCGTTGATAGGTGGGTAAACAAATTAAAAATTATTGATATAAATATTTAAGTTTTAGTTAGTAATCTACAGAATTACAAACATATTTTGAAAATACTGGTTAAACATGATTTTTAAATTATTATAGATAAATTTCTATCTTAATTCTTATGTTGCAATTCATAGTATACAGACCCATATATATAAATAAGTGAACAAAATATTCTTACCAATTATAAATATATATCAATTATGTGATAAAATAACAAATATAATTCAAATATTATAGAGTCAAATAAAATAGGGAAAATTGCAAAAATGCCACTTTTTATGTGCATATTTGCAAAAATGTCACTTAGGGGTGTTCATTTGCAAAAAATGCCACTAATTATAGATTTTTAAACCCTATATCTTAAAATTCTAAACACTAAAAAATGTTTTGACTCATAAATCCTTCTAAACCCTCATAACTAAAAACTCTAATAGAAAATAATTAACGCAAACATAAATAATATAAAAAAAATAATTTTGAAAAAGTGGTATTTTTNT